GCCTCCGCTCCATGCACAGATCGGGGGGGTCACGTGCCCCCTGGACCTCCATTTGTCCCACTACCCAGCCCGGCTGGGGCCCCACTCACCCCAGCCCCTGCTCCTGCCTGTGCCCCACTACCTCCCTCACCACTGGGGCCTCGATCTGCAACCCCCCCACGGCCTTTCCCCACAAGCTTACCTGGGAGAGGGAGCGCGTGTGCACATGTGCACTTTCAGCCCAGCCCAAATCATTTTTTCTCCCTCCCCCTATGTGGCTGGGGCACGAGAGTGCTGAAAGTATGGAGCTGTGTGACCAAGCAGAAGGCAAGAATCTAGCCCCTGGCTGACTGGGCTGACCAAGTGCAATTTACGCCCATGGTCAGTGTCCACACATGCATTTAATCACAGTAATTTCCCCAGCGTAAGATAGCGCTGTTGGGGACAGTACTATCTCATGCCAGTGTAAATTAGTTTACTGCAGCCTAATACTGTTGCACATGTAGACAGTGATGCTGTACTCTGCAGCTGATTAGTTTAGTCAGCAGTAAAGTGGGTGAGTAGGCATGGCCTTGATGTCTGTGGCAGGACCAACCACACTACCATTCTGACTGCTAGAGGTTCTTTTTAGCAATTCAGTCCTTCAGCTATGATGAAATTAAGTGTATGACCAGGTTGGCCATAAATACCTGGATGTAATGAGATAAAATAAAGAGCAATAAAAATTGTGTGTGTATAAGTGATAAGGGATATTTTAACCACCAATTAGAAAATAAAAACTCAGTCTTTTGAGATGTGGCTAACATGGGAGACGGTGTGCCTCCTGCTATTGAACTAAGAACAGCTTAGCTTTATTATTCATCCATACTAACTTTTGCTCTGTTTGGGATGGCTGCAATACTAGAGTCTTTCTCTAGTGAGAAGGCATCTTTTACCTCAGTTCCCCCTCAAAGTTAATCAGAGGTCACTGTAGTATTATTTCAGTCAAGAATATTCTAATTGCATTCACTGAATTAAAGTTGTGCTGGAGTTGGGGATAAATAAGACAGATCCAAATAAATAATTTTCTAGCTTCTCCTGAGTTTCCAGTTGTGCTACTTAACAGTTTTAACCAACCTTGAAAACAAAAAGTGAGACATAGACCTATCTTGACAGGGACAGTCACCTTCCACAGAACACTCTTCCAGGATGAGGAGCTTTTGTTTTGTGGTCTGACATGAGACAACCCCACAGTTTTCCTCTTTCTAAGAGGAAGTGTCTTGAAGTCTCTGCGGCTCGCTGCAGGATTCAAGAGCAACTTAGTCACACCAGCCTCTGATTGCAGATGGGACCAAAAGCAAGCCTCTCTTCAGCAAGTATCACCCTGGAGTACTACATGCAACTAGCCATTGCAAAGGTATATTGTGAGGACAAGGACCTCTGAAGTCCAACCTGAGATCACTAGCAGAGCTAATTACACATAGCCAACAGAAGCAGACTGAAGCATCTGTGGAGTATCAGGAATCAGGACAATGGGCTAGCTGTTAGCCCCCATGGGCCCTGGTTACCTGAGTGGGCCTGGCTGTCAGTGGCCTAACTACTTATAGCTGGTCCCAGTTGCCTGTATAGATGTCACTGTCTGTTTGTAAGCAGCAACTTTCTCAGTGTCCAGATTGCTACTCAAACAGACTGTTGCTTCCACATCTAGTGTTGTGCATCAGACTCTTTGCTTCAGCTTTTCGTGTTCCTGATCCCTGTCTTCTGACAGCTGGTGCTTGGCTTGTGGCTTTAGTTTGGTGATTGCCCATGTCTACTTAGCTGCCTCTTCCAGACCTCTGGCCAGTGACCCTACTTTCTGCTCCTGACTGCCTAACCCATAGCTCTACTGTGGTGACTGCCCATTTCTCGATCCCTTACAGACCTTGGCAGTAGCATAATAAAGGGAAGTTGGGGTGGGGAAGGTGTAAAAATAGCAGCAGGTGTGGCTGCTGTTGCTGGCAGTGCAGCCACTGATTCTGTCTTGTGCACCACTGTTGCCTATAGGGTGCTAAAGTATTCAGTTATGCCTCTGGACCTTGGTCTCCTGACCTGCTTTCTCCAGATCCCTTGACTCATGACTTATCTGGATCTCTCTACTCCTGATCCTTTGGGAATTGAATCTTTAGGGCAGTGTCAAACATACAGCCCATTCAGCCACCCTGGATCAGCTGCAGCAGGAGCCGTGTGCAGCACAATTCAGCTGGGGCAGCCACCGCATGCAGTACAACTGCTGCTCCAGCTAAAGTGTGCTACGTGCGATGCCCATTCTAGCTGCTCTGGGATTTGTGTCACATGGTGCAGGTCCCAGACCAGCTGGAGCAGCTGCTGGATCAGGTATGCTAGGGAGAAGAGGGGAAGAGGGAGGGGGTCAATGGAATCAATCTGACCCACAGAGTTGCCCTGAAACGAACATCTGGCCCATGAGGACAGGTAAACATTAACACCTCTGCTTTAGGACCAACTGCCTATGTCCTGGTTATACCAGATGCAGAGGCTTTGAGGGGTGTTTTGAAAAGGCCTTGGTCCATAGACCCATAGGGCAGGTTCTTTTGGAGCTCAAAGATTTTAATTTATTTTCCTAAGATCCCCTTGTGTCCCCAGAAACCAGTTTCTGGGAAGTGTGCTTGGGACAGCAGGATGGTTACTAGAACAGCCCCACAGCATTGTGGGTGCTTGCATTGCTGCAGTCTCACTGGTTAAACTGGGAAAACAGCTCAGGAGATAAAGCTTGTGCCTAAACCCAAATGTTGTCCTGGTTTTTCCTTTGGGGAAAAAAAAAAGCAAAGGATGATGAGAGAATTCCATTTGCCTCAAGGAGGTTTCAGCTGGTTTGGCTTGTTTTACCAAGCATTGCTATTCCTGCTCTATGTGGTGTGCAAGGGTGGGTCTGTTTGCTCAAAGAAACCATTCCAAACCCATGGATTTTGGGTAATTGTATTAAGAATGGGGGTGAGGAAACCTTTTAACTTGGAAGATTTGTAACTCTTCTCCCCAAGTTATGCTGTTTCTTCTTGATTGTATTATATGCAGAAATCTGTCTTAATTATTCTTGATCATATTAGAAATCTGTATTTTCCCTAGTCTCTAGTCTGCCCTTTGGTTTTAATTTTTTATCTTTTAACTTGCGCTCTCTCCTGATTTTGTTTCACTGACAAATCAAAGCTGGTCTGCCCCAGATCTCCTGAATTGGCAGAGCACCTCAAAACAGTGCCTCTGGAGTGTCACTGAAAAGGCCAAATCAGCAGTCAGCAACAGCAGATTGTATAGAGCCTCTGCAGCTGATCCAAAGTTGGAAGGCAGAATAATAATTGATGGGGCATTCATGAGAGACAGCCTTGACCTCAAGGGAGATCTCTGCAGCTGCACTCATCCATTCACAGTGAATAGCTTACATGAGTGAGTGGGATGGCTACACGCATAGAGATCCACATATAGATAAGATATTTACAGCATCTATAAAATGTAACTTTGATCAAAACGGTGTTCTGGCTTTGAACAGATGCCTTCAGAGGACTGCAGAAAACTCTCCAGGAGCACCTTCTGGGGAAGCGGGGTTTATTTATAACCTCCGTACAATGCAAACAAGAACTACTCAGTTTGACTTGGTGGTGCCAACAAAAGCGAATCACTTCGCAATGATGTGTGATCCATACCCATCTTCTATATAGAGAACCATGCACATGTGTTTTCTTTCCAAAAGCTTCTGATCAATGGTTATTCCTGCATTCATTTCAGTCGTCGTTTTCTTACCAAGACCAAGGAGGGAGACGAGGCAGACTGGAATAACAGGTTTTGCAGGGGATGGAAAGATGCTGTATTTTGCCACGCTGCCTGGCAGGTGGACCCGAGAGCAGTGGACGAGCCAGCACGGCGGACAGGACCCCAAGCAGGGCTCAACGGTTTGTGTGGGGCACCCCCCTCTCCAGCTCTCCCTGGGGAGCCCCCTTCCCCTGGCACTGACGCCGTCCCCCTGCTCGCCCCTAGGCAAGAGCGGTAGATCACGACTGCCGGGGAAGGAGGAAGCGCTGCCCCGCACCAGCCCACCGCCACTTCCACAGAGGACAGAAGAAAGAGCCTCCCCCTCCCCCGCTACTCTCCACAGCGCGGAGTCGACCCCGGCCGGGAGACAGGTTACCCTGGCTCAGCACGGCTGGCAGGGACCGGAAGCGGCCCGAACGCTCGGGGAGGCGGTGACAGCCGGAAGTGGGCGGGGCGACGCGGTCCCTGCCCGACCGGACGCACGGACCAGAGCCCGCGGGTTCCGGGTCCGCGCGGAGCAGGCCCCGCCTCCCGCTCCCCCC